CTTTTTTATATGTGGCAACACCAAAATTCACAGTAATGACACTTTGTACAAAATAATAGGGTAAAAATTCGATTTTTTTGCTATTTTAAATGTAAATATCTCGAAAACTAAAGGTCTCCGGTAGGTTTGGTTTTCGGTTTCTGAGAGAGGGTGGAACCCCCTACCACCCCTTATAATTCGTTTTTTCCAAAGCCTGGAACCATAATGGAAAACTTTCCCTAACACTTTTCTAAAAAAATGAAGTAAAATAAAAACTAAAAATCAAAAATAAACTTTTTATTTTATCTTCATAACTAATTTCTTAAATTTAGTAAGGACTCCTCTTTAACTTTGTGTTGACGCCATGGGAAATAAACTCATTAATAAATTGCAAGCAAATAAATCAATGAATTGATATGTCGATTCACTCGATCCATGAATGCACTCAGCGACTTTTTATTATTTGTTTAGCGCCAACTCAATACTTATTGAGGTTAAATGAATAATTTTTGGTAGTTTTTGCTTTATTGTTCTTTCGAAGAATCAAGTTTAACAAAAAAAAATGTGTTCACTAATTTTATGCGATTTTAATTGTTTCATTACTAAAATCTAAATATTGTCTTTCTTCTTTTGGTAACACAGAACTCACCACTGAAATCTTTGAACGCTCAAATTTGTCCTCTTACAGTTCGAATTTTTGTTCTGGATTTATATAAGACCAATAAGCACCAAAATAAGGGAACACTTTTCTCTTTTTAGAATAAAACTTTTTACATTTTTTTAAATTTTTTTTTCTCAGTTTATAACCCACCCAATAAAGTAAAAATTATCGAGATCGGACTATGTTAAAAGTTATGCATGGTCCTACATAAGAAAAATGATTTGTTTCATTGGTAGAAAATCTGCAGAATACGGACAAAATGAGCATACATAGCAAGCTTATCTTGCATAGAACGCACCTTAAAATTCATAAAAATATGTATTAAAAATTTTACAACATCATCGGAGGAATGTCTCTAACTTTGTGACACTTAACAATGTACCCGGTAGACCTTTGTGAAAACTCTAAGTTGAAAGCAAAGCTACACAAGTAATATTGGTGGAAAATCTAAATGATTTCAAGTATTTGTTCATCGCTTTTTCATTGCAGCAAAGGAAGTTGTAGCTCTTTAAGAAAAAAACTTTTTATATGTTTTCTCTTTGACTCTTTCCGAAAGGATCTTGTTGAAAAGTAATATCAAGATTTTTGGAATTTAAAGAAATCTCAATAAATCTTCGTTTTGCCGTAAAAAAGTGTTGAAGGCTTTTGTAGCTTTTGTAAACGATTTTCGGCCGAGCTACTCCTCCGATTTGTAGTATACTTCTTGATGTTTTCCAACGAATAGAGGGACTTACAGTTTATATAGGAGGGCTTAACATTGCCACCCAGGAGCGACCGCAATCGGAAAAACCAACTCATTTTTTATTTCAATTAGTGAGAACATCTTTTTGATGTTGGTTGGACCAGCACTCTAATTCTGGCTTTATAAATAGAAATACACACTGCTAACCATTCGGTTACCGTGGTTTATTCGCTAATTGAATGTAACAGTTTTACTTCAATCGCACTAGATTGTGAAGGTAATCGAGAGCTTTTAAATAATTAAAAATATTAATTAGGCCGTAGAAACGACTTGGATTTGGGTTAGTTTCACAGTCTAATATTCACATCGATAAGAAAATAGAAGTCCAAATCTAGAGATCTAGAGAGGAACTAATTTATTCTTGTTTTTACATTCTTCACATTCTTTGATGACGAATTCATTTTCTTAAATACCATGCGAGTGGCAACGCCAAAATTCTTATGCTAATGAGTGTAAGAGCTCACTCACTGTGCTCACCGCTCAACCAACACCAGTGTAATTCTACATACCAACACACATGCAATTGGGACAACAAAACAGCTCCAGCAAAAACACAACGGAATTCATCGCCTCCAAAGCAAATGGGCACGATTGAAACGATCATACCGTGCTCGTCGCTCGCAACAATAACGACTCGTTTTTTCATACTGTGGAAACGTTGCGGAAAGTGCTCGCGGTCTTAAGAAACATAAATACATACACACATACCTAAGTGTGTGGATAGGGAAAAAAAGTATCTTTAAGATTTACCAATATTAACAACAACAATAACATAACTACAGTTGAAAAGAAAGTGTATAAAAAATATTTACGATGAAGATTTTAGTGAACAAACAACAACTAATAAAAACAAGTGAATAAAGAGGTAAAGAGATGGAAATAAAAGAAATAAATTTAAATTAAATTACATATAATCAAATATAAATAAAAGCTAGAGTGTTGAAAACGTGATTGTTCAAACTGTGAAACCAACCAAATGAAAATTGATTAATTCCCTTGAAAATAAAATAGAAAATTTCTCAAAAATTCAACTAAATTTTATACAAAGCAAGTGTAAATTGGAAAAGTGACTGAAAAAAATGTTTTTTTTTTCCTCCAACTGTTAAAGAAAAATGCCAGAGCAACAGGAATTTGCCCTCAAACAAATTTATACAGCGTGAAAACCTACAACTCGCTGTAGATACACTACTTTATATGTACATACATACATACATATGTATGTATATCTGTACATATTTTTGAAATGAAAAAATAATAAATAATTAATTTTTTGTGGAATGGAATGCAGCAAAAGAGATAGCATTAGTTGGCAATACGTGAGGGACATGCGCGTAAGCGAGATGCCGACAAGTTGTTGAAGCGCACGAATTCAATTTTGAAACGACGACGAGCCAAGAGCGCACCTACAAACATACATACAAACGTTTAGACATACAAACATCGTACGACAAGTAACTAAAACAACTATAACAACAACATCTACACACGCGCTCACAGTGGGGGAGCAAGGAAAAAAGTACTTTTTTTCTTTTCTTTTCTTTTTAAATTTTTTTTTGAGAGAGAGATACTCCAATCTGTGTGCGTGTCGTCAGTTTAGTGTGGGGTAACGGGGTGAGCGACGTGAAGTCAATGCGATCAATGTGTAGTTCGAAAGACTACCAACCACTACTACTACTACACACATACAACGGACGGCTAACTGTCTGTGTATCTGTGTATGTCTAGTTGAGCGCTGAGGCGTACGAAACAAAACGCGCTTCGTCCGCGCCTACACCACCCCTCAGCATCGAATGCGGTGGTTTGTCGACTCGATTGGCACCAAACAGCCAGAGCTCTAGCCATAGCTATAGCTAGCAGCCATCGCGGTTGAGCTACATACCAGCTAACCAGTCAGGCAGCTCGCCAGTATGTTAGTACGCTAGCCAGCAAGTCAGCAAGCTAGGAGGCTACTAGCTAACGCCCGCAAACGACGATCGAATTGTTTGATACGCGCGTTTACTCGTCGCATTTGTTTTGTGTTGATTTTATTTTATTTTTATTTTTTTAACGGGTTTCGTTTTAATAACGAGCGCGTTTGAAATGAAATGAGAGCGTCATGTCCAAGGTAAAATAGGAATTTTTTGTGTGCGCGACTCACGTACTATAATAATTTAAAACAAAATATACTTGTTTAAACATACATATATATATGTAGGTACATAGTAGCTTTGTTTGTGCATACAAACATATTAAAATAGATGAATTTATGCAGTGCTAAAAATCTGTGTCTTGGAATTTGCATACCCAAAATACAAACAAACGCATATAAATGAAAATAAATACTGATCAAACAAATTGTACATATTGGATACATATATTAGAAAAAAGTATTATGTGATAAAGTTAACATCAAAATTTATGAAATAAAATTTTTCCTAAAAAAATTGTGTTTCTTTTTCAGCCCACAGTGCAAACAAAGTGAAAACAGTGCAACAAAAGCAGCAAAACTGCGCCACTGAATACAAAAAAAAATAAAAAAATGTGTGTAAATTAATTGAAAGGTTTATAGAAAATAGTGATAAACTGAAACCAAATCCAAGTGAAAAGAGTTGAAAAAATATCAAAACTCAACTGCCCATTCATCAAACTATATTCAGCTGACAAGATCTCTGATTATAGCTTGCAACAGCAACGACCCGAAAAATATATCTACACACACATGCACATACAAATGCACATTTAAAGCATTTCACCAAATTAAAACGCCGCCGCGTCTCCTAAACTGCCCCACATATTGCTGCGCGTCTTTCAAATATTATGCGCCAGCAAGTGTACAACAGATAAGGAGATAACAAATAGCCAAAGCAAAATAAACGCTTAATATGTTGTTGTTAGCGGCGACGCGAAATCGTCATCAACAGCAACATTCGTTGTTGCATGCCAACGTCTGCGTGTAAAATGTTGTTGTGCTGGTCTCGTAAATTGCCAACGTTTTGACTATAATTTTTCTTAATAACGAACGGAAAAAGCAGCAACAAATACCACAGTTGACTTAGTGATAATCATTATTTTGCACTATCATCATCAGCGACAAAGTCTTGAGCAACAAAAAAAAAAGAAAGATAGCAATAAATTACTGCTGTTGCCTCCAAATGTTCAAACTTTTATTAGTGTTTGTAGTTGTTGTCTGCTATTTATGAGTTTTAGCGCGGCAACATTTGGTATATCAAAGTTATTTTTGTTGCTGTTGCACATACTACTACTCAGCGTCTCTTGCATTTTAAGCAACGCCAGCAACGCTGCCACCGCTTAGCGAACTACATTTAGCTGCTATTCAAAAACAACAAGAAAAAATCTCCCATAACTGTTGCCACCGTCACAGCGCCGCAGCCACCGCTCTAACCGCATTGGTAGTAGCCGGTGCCAGCAGCTTCGCGTTTCTTGGCAATCATAAAGATTTTGTCATCGTCCACAACGTGCAGGAATTTCAAATTGAAATTATGCCAAAACAACAACAACAACCACAATATCACCAACAACACCAACAGCAACACCACAACACAACGTCTTCGTCGGCGGCAACACATCATGGCGAATATCCACTGCCAGATGGTTGGGACATCGCCACCGATTTCGATGGCAAAACATACTACATCGATCATAATACGAAGAAGACAACTTGGCTGGATCCCCGCGATCGGTATGTAGACCAAAAGCAAACAAAAAATTAAATTATTTTAAAAAATTTAAAGAAAAATTGACACCAGAAGTAAACATTTCGAAATGTATGTATGTATATGCATAAAAGTGTGAGCGTGTATATTTTCGAATTTATAAAAGGCAGATTTTTTCAATGTTTATATGAAACCTGAAGAAGTGAGTTAATTTTGCAATTTCGCAAAATTAATTTTCATAAATACACACATACACATCAACTAGTTTCTCTAGCATGAGTATGTACACGTATGTATGTATACAGTATTTGATTAGCACAGCTTTTCAGTATAATTTTTATTGTTTCTCAAAACAAAAGTCATTAAATTTTTCACCATAATATGGATTTGTTCAACGAAATATACATTGGTACATAGGTGAATGTTATATGAATGTATACACATACGTACATAACTATGTGCAGTATCTTGTGTAGCCTTAAGATATTTATCACTCTCTGTATTTTACTTGGAAACGAAAACGTTCTTGGAGCAGGTGCTAAATATTATTAATTTCAAGGATAATTTAAAAAAAAAATAACACACAGACACACGTCAAAATGTTATCAAATAAAAAAAATTAAATTAAATTAAATTAAATAAAAAAAAAATAAAATAAAACNAAAGTAAAATAACTTAAATTAAATTAAATTAAATTAAGTTAAATTAGTAAAATTATAATTAATTAATTTAATTTAAATTTAATTAACTACATTTTGTTTTTATATACTTCGCGTTTATGTATTTAAGTAATAAATATAATTTATTTTAATGAATTAATAATTTAAATGAATTAAAATGACACGAAATTAATTGAATTGAGATAATAAAATTGAGATAATAAAATAGTTAGAAAATATTAAATAGCTAAGATAATATTGCATTTAAAATATTTTATTTAAATTTTATTTAACCAACTATTTCAAACAGATTAAAATATACTAATAAAAGTTAACATAATATAAGAAAAGTTTTTCAGATTAAATTAGTTTTAAAAGTTAAAAAAAAAAATTCGAATCATTTAGAGTTGATGTGCACAAGCTATGTATGTACATACACACATACATATATACATATGTGCTTATGTATTTTCTTTTATATTTTCAACATAGTTTATACAAAAAAAATTTCGCAAGTTCATGCCTATGAGTATTTACAACACAAAAGTGTTTAGCAATAAATTCATGTGTTTGGTTGTTTGTATATATATTTGTTTGTGCATATGGACATAATTAAAAAATAAAATTGAAATCGGAAGCAACATTTACGAGTGTAATGTTTATATTTTACTATTTATTAGCTAATTACGCACACATTTGTACATGCATACATATGTACAATATGTATGTACATAAACGTAGATGGCCGAAAACTCACCGTTTAGGTATATGTAGATATGCGTTTAAAAGCATAGCAACATACATTAGGCGGAGAGATATTTTTGACCAGCATAGTTCTCAAAAGTTGTATTAGCTTATAAAAATAATAATTGAATTTATATTCATACTTACCCACCTGCACGCTGTTTTTTTCTTAAAATGTAGTCGACGGCACTCGATGGGTAAAGTTTCAACTAGGTGCTTGATACGTACATATTTATGTATTACATTAAGAAATCCAACAAAAAATGTTCACCATATATCGTGACACACTCTAATGTAGAAAACATATGTATGTACATATATATACTAAAGAGCCTTCCGCAAATAGCGCAAATATTCACAATTGCTCGTGTTTAACTTTGGCATACAAACATATGCGTGGCTATATAAAAATATCTGTAAATAAAGAAAATCATACATTTTAAATCATACCTTTTTACATACAAACGCATAATTCATACATACACAATTATTGCAAATATGCAGCAGACGCACAAGATCTCGCAAAAGACATGCGTACGTACTGGCATGCGCTCGTAAGTTCACGCATATATGTATGTATGTGCATATGTACATAGCACAATTCTTTGCTTTTGTATGCCACAAAGGTGCAAGAGGGGGAATCTATGTGGAATTGAATTGAGAAAATACTAAACTTAAGGAAAAAATTGCGTTTACAACAATTTTAATCTACAAAATTTTATACGTTGTTGCCGCATTTGCTTAAATCGTGTGGCAACACACACATTGACAATTGATTACTTCAAAAATGTGTTGCCATTTTAGTTTTCTCGATTTTCTTGCAAAATTTTTCACATTTCTTTTACATTTGTTTGTTATTTTTATTTACATTTTGTTGATTTTTATTTCTATGGTATGCACATACATACATACATATATGGATATGTACATATATGCATATTTGTGTACGTAAATGCTCGTACGTACGTCCCGCCTATTCATTGCCCGCAACAAAATTACTTGTACTTGTTACTGTTGTTCATTGTTGTTGCTGTTATTATTATTGCATGCTGTTGTAGTCGTTGTTTGCCGTCCATCCACACAAATCCACCAGCCTTTTGAGTTCAACTATACTTGGAACTTAATCATCGCATTGGAATGTTTTGCTTAATGTGATTTTTTTTCTTGTTGCCTTCTCATTTTTACTTCTTGTTTATTTGTTTTATATATACAAAGAGGTACATACATACATATGTATGTTCGTTTTCATTTCAATTTTTCCAACATGTTGTTCGTTTGTATGTACATATAATTGTATTTCTATATTTACGTATGTGTGTATGTATATGAGTATGAGTAATTGCGTGTGTATGTATTTCTAAAATGCATACAAATTCACAAACTAACACTTGACTTTAAAATTTTATATATGTACATACATACATTTGTACATATCTATGTATACACCTCTGAAACACAGTTGTATATTTGTACGTAAATTTGTAGTCCCATACAAGTTTGTATACATTCCACGAGCAACACTCAGAAAATCGTTTCACAATCACACACATACTCACATACATGTATATGTACGTACACACGCGCAAACATTAAAATCACACTGATCGTCGAACTGCCTCAATGCCTAAACACTCTTGCTTGCCCGGCTGGCTGGCTGGTTGGCTGTTTGGCTGTTTGGCTGTCTTGTCTGTCAAACAACAACGCACAAGTTTTCTTTTTCAGCAAATATATCGAAATTGCTATCTTCTACTAGCCTTTTTGCCTTCACTCCGCGTGGCAGGCCTCTCTTATAAGTCTACTTGCCTATCTCCACTGTCTCGGCTGTTTTATATTTTTTCAAGTATTGTAAATATGTATATGTGTATATTTGTGTATAAAATTTTGTTCGTAGAACTACTAGAGTAAATTTGTAGACTGGAATGTGTACTCGTGCATCGGAAAATTTATTTAGTTTTTGGAATTCAGAATTTTTACGCTGTTCTTTTTCTCATAATTGTACTTTTTGTTATTGAAAATGCAATCCTTTGATGTTGTCGAGTTCAGAGAATAAAAAATGGTATGAAAGTGAGTAAAACTTTGAATTAGACCTCAGAGAAATACCCGATAGATTGAGTGAATATTTACTAAATTGAAATTTTAGACTATGCTTTTAAATTGTGGACATAAGAACTGACGCTTTTGAATTTTATAAAAAAAAAATTAAGACTAAGAAACAAAAAGTTTTTTTTTCAAAATTTCCCGCGAGCTTGCTCACAAACTTTTTTTTTTTTGTAAGAAATGCTTAGATTTCAAAATCTTGAAATCTTCATGGTCCGAATTTTGTTTTTCTTTAAAATTGCAATTTTTATTTACCAAAGACAAAGACGCCTCTTGTATAACTGAATAATGCATTTTTCTGTCAAAAATATGAAATAAAAATAAAAATGTGGAAGAAAACGATTCGCTCAGCTTGAAGAGTAAATAGCAGTAATGAATTTCACACTTAAAACGAGATTTGGACACACTTTCATTTTTATACAAAAACTCAGGGACAACATAACTGTTTAAGATTATTATATTGGGTATTAAATTTGAAAACAATTAGTTAGGTTTCGAGATATGGAAAATTAAATAAAGTAAAGTAAAGTAAAAGCAACAAAAAAAAATAAATAATACAAAATAATATAAACTAAAATAACAGATATTAAATTATTATAAATAAATAAAAATTATAATTAAATAAAATAGACAAAAATTAAAAATAACTTAAGCCAAAATAAAATTAAATTAAAGTAGACTAAATTAAATTAAATTATATAAAAAAAATTCAATTAAATAGATTTATTAAAATAAAATAAAATCTTAGTTAAATATAAAACCAGATAAAGTGAAAAAAAAAATTAAAAAAAAAAATTAAAGAAAAGTAAAATCAAATGTAATAAAATAAAATTAAATTAAATCAAAATAATTAAATTAATCCAAAAAACAAAATTTAAAGGAAATAAAAAAATAAAGAACAAAAAAAATAAAAGATATAAAACAAAAAAATATAATTCAAATGAATATGTATAAATAAAATAAAATGTATATAAATAAATAAAATACAATTAAATAAAATAAACTAAAATTAAAATTAACTTAAGCCAAAATTAATATCAATTAAGTTAAACTAAATTAAATTAAATAAAAAACAAAAATTAGAGGAAATAAAAAAATTAAGAAAAAAAATAAAAGTAAAAAAATAATTCAAATGAAACGAAATAAAACAAAATGAAATCAATATATTAAAGTACAATACAACTTATTAAAATAAACAAAAATTAAAATTAACATAAACGTTGGTTTGGATAAATATCAATTAAGTTAAATTAAATTAAATTAAATAAAAAGTAGAATAAAATAAAATTTTTAACACAAAAATAAATTTCAGTTGAATATAAAATAAAATACAGCAAAAAAATACTAATTTAAAAAAATCAAAATAAAGAAAATAATATGTATAAAATGAAATAATAAAGTTAAATGAGAAATTTTAATTAATTAAATTAAAATAAAATACAAGAGTTAAAGAAAATAAAGAAAATACAATAAAATAAAATGAAGTAATAATATAAAATAATTAAATATAGTAAAAATTAAAAAAT